CCTCCGATCCGGCTCTGGGATTGGCTCAATACTTGGCGAAGTTGTAACATCGTTACACACCATCACCACTACCACTACCACTACTGCTACCACTACTACTACCACTACGACTACTACAACTACTATAACTACTACTACTCTATTCAACCTCTATAATATTATAGATCTTTATTATAGCTAACTATATAGTTGATTAAGTAAGAATTTAATAATAATATTACTTTAAAGGGCTTAGTGTAACGGGTCGAGTCCTATTAGACTGCGCACGCAACTACAACGCGCCCACCGCGCCAAAAAGGCTGGCACAAGATATCAGAGCTGCTGATATCGTTGCGTAGTTGATACATAAGATAGCCACCGCTATCTGTACTGTAGCGGGCTACCTAGCCCGTTACAAGTATAATTCTAATAACCTATTCAGAATAATATATAGAACAACTAAGATAAGTATATATATTACTAATAGTTTCTTAATTACCTAAATTACTATAATAGTAAAAGCTATATTAGCTTTTCTCTACTAGGGCTAAGTCTATAAAAGTTGCAAAGCAATAAGTAGTTTTAAAAGCTAACTTTAACCTATTCTTAATTAAGTAGATTATTAAGCTTAAGCTAATGTTCTATTTAAGAGGTTAAAGAGATTTAAGGGCAAATATATTAAGAGAAAGAGGCATATCTTAGTAGTACTTACGTACTACTAGATAAATCTTTTAATTTACTAAGTTAGTAGAAGGCTAGTAAGAGCTTATATCCCTACCTTTCTTAATTTGCTAGAAATATTTTAGTAGTACTAATTACCTATGTAATGGGCGGGCCCAACGGGCCGAGCGTACGACTACTTACGCCATCCATAGCCAAAAAGGCAGTAACAAGACTTCAAGCTTCTTGAAGTCCAGGTAGTCGTATAGATATACTCGCTTAGAAGCTAAGCTGTACATACGTAGGCGTAGCCTCTTACAACCTAAGTAGGTGTAAAGTAGGTTTTTAATATTGCAAAGAATTTAATCAGTACCTACTAGTATTGCCTTTCTATACAAAAGATTTAAAAAGTAATTATTTACAAGTTATTAATTAAGTAAAAGATAAATAGAAGTTCTATTAATATAGAGGTAGAAGATAGTAAAGAACTAGTAACAAGTGTAGTATTATATTTAAGATTATAGCAAATACTAAACATAATAATAAGGATTAAAGTATTTTAGATAAAGCTTAGGATAAAGCTAGTGTAGAAGAGCTACCGCTCTTACTATAGAAGCGTAGAAGACAAGCTTAGTACTATAATAACGAGTTGTAATAAATATTATCTTATTTATTTTAAATGCCTATATTATCCTATCACGTGCCCTACTTATCTATAATAACTCAATATAATTCATAAATTACTTATTATTATATAATTTCTTTATATAGGTACTCTATACCTAGCATAATTACCCTATACTTAAGTACACCTATAGATAGTATAACCTAACCCTATTTCTACTTAACATTTATACAACCTAACTCTACCCCTACCTATACTATAGTCTACTTAACCTTACTTTTACCTATAGTCTATACGACCTAACCCTACCTCTACTCTAGGTCTGTGCGACCTAACCCTATCCCTACCCAACGTCTGTGCGACCCTACCCTACTCTATACTCATCTCGGGAACCCCATACCCATTCGCCAGTCTAATCAGCATCAGCATCAGCATCAGCATCAGCATCAGTAGCAGCAGCAGCAGCAGCTATAGAAAAACAGGCCAAGTACAGTAACATGACTGATTCCAGCACCATATACAGACACAGTTTAGTTAGTTTGTAAGATGCATCACAATATATACACGTGAAAACAAATGCAAACTGCACCAAGTACTTGACTACTTACATTATTTCCCCTTGGTGGAAAAATATATGCACACACAGACACAGACACACACACACGTGCACGACGACTATATTATATGACACCCTGATCATATCATACTGAGCTATACTAACTAGCAACTTGCAGACCCCCCCGCATTGTGGCACTAAGCCACCCAGCACCGCGTTAAGCTTGCTTCCGACCTACCGCTTGCGTATTAGCATGAGCATTAGCATGAGCATTAGCCCACACACACACGTTTGTATACAACACCACGCCTGCCGGGTGTAACGTTTATCCGCTTATCCCCGTGCTATACTAGCAACTAAATGCTACTCTGATATACTACTTACAGCCCCAGCCCTTGTAGTCTACCTACTTACCCCCTTTCGACGTCGCACGCTTGAGTCGTTTTGCGCGGGGGCTTACTTGGATGCTTGAGTTGGCTGGCTGGCTGGCGTGATGCATGCTGCAGGCAGGCTTGGAGTAGTAAAAGCATCATAGGCGCGCATTGCCTTTGCCTTTGCCTTGCGCATGTTCCATGTACACATGGATATCGCGACATGTAGTAGTAGTAGTAGTAGTAATAGTAGTAGTAGTAGTAGTATAGCAAGAAGAAAGAAAAAAAACCAATTATTCAATCATTACTTTACCATGATTCATTTCTTCTTCTTCTTCTTCTCCTTCTCCATGCTGTGATTCTTGCTCTTCTTCCTTTTTCTTGTTTTCGCAAGCCGGGGAGCTGGACAAACCGAACTCAGAGAGAGAGAGAGAGAGAACAAAAAAAAAGAAGAAGAACAAGAAGAAAAAGAAAAAGAAAAAGAGAAAAAAAATAAAACCAGCGGGAGAGACGAGCGCGCATGTTGCAATGGGGTGGGTGGGTGTCAGCTAATCGCAAGAGCGCGTTGAAATTGAATTTTTGTTTTGCCAACGAGATAAGATTCTGGTTCATGGTGGGAAAGATGGAAAAGGAAATTAATCGCTTCGGTACAAGCACCCGGTCATCCAAGTATATTCGTTTATTCAATTCCTATGTGCAGCATCACGGAGCACATGGATTGAGTCTTGTTGGTTCAACAAGGTTAGCAAGGTGAACAAGGTGAAGAACAGATGACTGTCAGAGGGACAAGCACATCATTTCCATTATTATTTTTTTGCAATTGTTTTTTTGGTCTTCTGCATGCATTATACGCAAGCCATCTTTCCCGTTCAAAGGAAAAAAGAACGAACCGTCTGGTATCCCATGTGATGATGATGATGATGATGATGATTCCCTTATCCGATACACGCACACCCCAAACTGACCAGACGTTTTATTGTACGCATCGGAATCGGGAACGTATCCATAAAATAAAGGGACACACACATGCACACGGACAGACGCATGGGAAGGACGAGCCACGAAGAATAGCCCCCTTGCCAAAAAATAATAATTGACAATGGGAAATGATGAATCTCGAGTATACAGTATGCTGGCAGGAGGAAACAATGGGTCGTGCAAATCCAAACACAAGATGCAAAAAAGAAAAAGAGATCAGGAACAAATACAAGAACAAAACACTTTTAACTCCAGTTGAAACGAAAAAAAACGCCTGTGCCACAATCATTATAGCCCAAGAGACCGTGCCGTATTAGATTATGCCGCAAAAAGCCTCGATGAGTGCATGTGACGGAGAGATGGACAGAGATGGGGAAAAGTGACTCGGAGCCAGATTGCCATGAGAGCTCCGTCGAGAAAAAGAACATGGAGAAATAAGTGGGGTATAATGAGAAGGTACGGTGAGAGGCGGCGAGGAGAGGCGTGAGTGGAAATCATGCACGATGCTACTGCCCGCCGAAATCTCCTGGGCCTTGGTTGGCAAAGATGTAGCTCTTGGGCTGGGGTTCGTTGGGCCGCCGCAGAAGATTTCCGTGGGCATCATTGCCTTGTGGAGGGTTGTACTGGTGTACTAAAAAGTCTGGCATGGTAGAGACTTGGGGTGCGAAAGGAACATTGTGGTGGATGCCACTCAGTGACATGTCCTTGAAGTCGTCATAGTTCATATTGCCGGGGGGCATGTATTGCATGTTGCTATCGTCAGGTTGGTTCTGCGCAGTGTCGGGGAGCGAGGGTCTCCTGAAATGGGAGGGCTTGGGCTGCTGTATCGTGAGATCAGACGTCGAGTGGTAGCCGGATCGCATGTGGGGTTGCGGTACGTAGGATGTGCGAGGAAAGTTTTGCTGTGTTGCTGGGGCTGATTGCGGTGGCGTATCACGATATAAAGTATCGTTGACAAACCGAGACTGCAGATCCATCGAAGACGACGGTGGCGACGTCGTCTTTGCAATGACGTTTCCAGCTTGATCCGAAGACCAGTTTGTATGCATACTCTCTGGGCTGTTGTGGTCAGGCATGGCTGAGTGAGGTCTGATTACAGCAGCGCCGCCCCAGTAATTGCCAAAGTCCTGCGGAGTCAATGGGGTCGGCGGTGCGAGGCTGCCTCCGTGTCCGATGGTAGTGCCGCTCGAGGTGGAAAACGTCCTTGCAAACTTGGGCGATGCAGCGGCCTCTGAGAAGCTCAACGACATGGGCGAGCGCTGTGCCGAGCCGGGCTGTGACTTTTGAACACGGCCTCCAGCATTTGGAATACCCGTAGAGCGAATCCGGCGAATCACCTTGTCGTTGTTGCCTCCTGGCGATGGCATAGGTGCAGAGTATGAGGCGCTCCTCATTGCGTTGGAGTTGAGATTGACGGGGCGCTTCTGTCTCCTGGCGGCAATGCTGGAAGACTGATCTGGTGGCGGGAAATCATCAGGAGTGCTGTTTCGAATATGGATGGCATCCATGTTGGTTGCCAAATTGCTTGTAGACGAGTTCCTTCGGGCAAAAGCATCCTCGCGGAAATGCAGCGGAATGTCGAGATCAGAAGGCGCCGCACTGAGCCTCCGGGAATGCTCTGGTGAGGAGAGGATGGCGCTTGCCGATGCGTTGGCATGTTGATAGAAGCCACCCTGGGGATACACCTGGCTAGAGTCCTGAGCCCAGAATGGAAGCGCTTGCTCCGAAGTGACTGCCTGCGAGAGATTGTAGGGAGCAAACTGGTCTTCAGGTTCCTCGGCCTTGCTGGGCTGGGCCAATTGATTAGGGTCCTCTGTCCAGCCCGTGTAGACGGAGTTGAGCGAGGCAATCGATGGCGGCGTGGGCCCGTTTGGCGACTGTGTAGTGGCAGAAGACTGGGTTCCATTGTATGGCGACGCGTCCGAGGATATCGAACCAGCACCTTGCTGAGCCTCTGGTGCGCTCGAGTTGGCTGTGTTGGTTGCCGTAAGCGCGGAGTAGTCGATTTGGAAGTCGGCAAAGTTGTCAAATTCGGGATGTGAGGGGGCTAAATCGCTAGACATGGGGGCAGGGACCGTGAAGGCAAGGTCACTAGAGTATGCATTGGGGAGGCCAGTCGTGTCGTAGGCGAAGTCTGACTCTTGTGCATTGGTAGTCATGCCGCTGTTGTGCATGTAAGCACCGTTGGTGGCTGCCATGATGGAGTTCATGAGGTCGTTGGGACGATAGGCTGGGGCCCGGTCAGCCTCGGGTATGCAGCGGAGCATGTCATACTGCTGCTGTTGCTGTTGATGCTGGGGCGGCGGCGGTAGTTGTTGTTGTTGTTGTTGTTGTTGTTGTTGGTGGTGGTGGTGGTGCTGCTGCTGTGGTAGTGGTGGTGGTGGTTGCTGGGGTTGTTGTGGTTGCATGACCATCTGGGGGCCAAGGTCGAGCGCTGACGGGCCCTCGGCGGCCTGGACAGGCATGGTTGCCGGACTTATGTCCGCCGTGGAATAAAAGTCTGGCTGCATGAGCATATGGGGGTGTTGTTGCTCCTGGAGATGGGGGTAGTAGTTGGGCATGACGGGGACGTGCTGATGGCCAAAGGGCAGGTTCATGGTCATGTTGTACTGATTCATGAGCTTTTTGCGGTCCTGCTTGACCTTGGCGCGGCGATTCTGGAACCAGTTCTGCGGGCGTGTTAGCAATGGCGCGCAGCACACGGCGGGACGGGACGACTCGCATTGATCTTGTCGAGCGGCACACCCAGGCGGGTCGCGAATTCCTTCTTCACATTGGTGCTCGGCTTGTGCTGGGCGAGGAAGTGCTGCTCGAGAATATCGTGCTGGTCCTTGGTGAGGCGGGGCTTGACATCACTGCCGGGCGGCTTTGGCGCGGGAGGTGCGGTCGACGAGGCGGCAGCAGCGCTGCTGGAGTCCATGGTGCCGCGTCCAGCGACAGGTTGCGCTCGCGGGGCCAGGCGGCGTGGGGAGCGACGGGCTGCGAGGGTGCGAGGGGGAGCGGCAGCGGGAGCGGGAGCGACAGCAGCAGAGGCGGAGGCAGTTGGAGCGAGCACGGATGCGCGGGCTGCACCGCAGGACGGGGACGATCAGATGGAGTAGCGAGCGACGATGACGATGACGATGCGCGACGGGGGACGACTGGGTCGAGGGAGGGGAGGGGGGGTGTGGGTGGTGGTGTGTGTGTGTGGAGGGGGCCAAAAGACAACAGTAGGGCAGACGCTATATCTACAATGAACGGGGAAACGAGGGTATGGAGCGCGACAGCGCAGTAGCAGGGCAAGAGTAGGAAAGGCACGAGGCGAGACGAGACGAGACGAGACGAGATGAAGGAAGCGAGACGAAGCGAGCGGCGGCGGCGGACGGCGCGGACGGAGGAGGGAAGGACAAGAGTTGGGCGTGGGCGTGGGTGGTGCTGGGTGGTGCTGGGTGCTGGGTGCTGGGTGCTGGGTGCTTGGGGTGGGTGCTTGGGTGGGTGCGGTGCGGTGCTGGCTGGGGGGGTTTAGGGAGGGAGGGGGGGAGGGGGGGGAGCTGCTTGCTGCTGGGCTGGGTGCTGCCACTGCTGCTTGGTGGCAGGAGGAGGGAGGGGGGGGTGGCAGTGGTGGCGGCGGTGGTGCTGCCTCTGCCTGCCTCCGCTGCTGCTGCCGCTGCTGCTGCTGCTGCCACTGCTCTGCTATTCTGCGACTCTCTGGCTGGCGGCTGGCTGGCTGGGCTGGCTGGGCTGGCGGGCGGGCTGGCTGGCGGGCTGGCGGGCTGCTGGGCGTCTGCTCGACTGACTGCCTGCCTGCCGGGGGTGCGCTGGGGTGCGGCCGGCTCAACTGGGCTAGCGGCCGGGCCCTGGTTGGTCCGACCTTGGGAAGTTGCTCAGCCACCGAACCCCCTCCCTCCACCCACCTCATCCCCCCGACCCCCCCTACCCTCCCCTCACCTCCCCTACCGCAACCCCCCAGTCGGCCTGCATCATGCCCTCGGACACAAAAATAACTTGCGTTTCGTGACACGGCGCGGCGCTGCGCTGTGCTGCCCGTCCCGGTCCTCGCCTGCTGGCCCATGGGGATATACGAGGCGCCCACGCCTCTGTTGATGTGCACACCCGCCCGCGCTGGAGCTGCGGCGTGGGCATGGCGGCAACACACACGCACACACGCACACAGGCACACACAGCACGACGCGACTGGCCACGACTGCACGCGAGGCCGCTGGCCTGGGCAAGACACCACAAGACATGTCCAAGGCCCCAAGGCCCCCCGACGACGCCTTCACCTCACCCACCGCGCCCCGCCCGCTGATTGGCTGGTCTTTGCTGCGTCCTGCTTGCCGCGGCGGCTGTGATCCGCTCTCGGGCGGGAGACGTGACCACCCCCCCCACTCGCACTCTCACTGATACAACTGATACGGCGCCGTCGATGGATGCATGTGCTGCAGCTTGGGCCCCTTTCCCCCCGTTCGGAGAATACATCGTCGGCCTGCCTGCCTGCCTGCCTGCCAGCCTGCCAGCCTGCCCCCAACCGCCTCAGCCTGTCCGCCTGCCCGCCTGCTGTGTGCACGTCGATGCTTGGGCGCATGCATGGCCGGCCAGCCCGTCACAGCCATCGACGTGTGTGTGGGTGTGTCCATGTGTGCCCGCCACGGCTTCAACGTGCATGGCCGCCTCGCCTGTCTGCTTCCTAGACAGCTGGTGGCGTCGCTCGCGCCCTCACCCTCGTCGCTTCCCTCGCGCCCTGTTGCCGACTCTGCTGCCCTGTCTCTCACGACTCGTCGGCCTGCCTGTGGGAAACCGCCCGGGCCGAGGGTCGTCTGCGTGTGATCAAAGGACCTCCGCGGCGCCTGTCCAAGGGGGACACGGCCACTCTGCTCGTGCCGCCGATCGACTGCCTCGGAAACTCGGCGCACACGTCCTGCCACCACGTCTGCTGTTCCTGAGCGTACCTTGCAGCAAAGGGGGCTTTCAGTACCACTTGCGGAACCCAATTTGGGCCCGGCTGCTCCTACATACAAGCTTCGTGTTTCGGCCGCTTCAGCTCTGGCCCTATCCTAGCCTAGCTCCGACGACTCAGCACTCACGACCCGCCGCCCCAACGACCAAAACCAAAGAAAAAAAAAGGGAGAAAAAGAAACCCTTGCTGCAAGCGCGTCGCCAGATTCATGCGCCTACGCGGCACACTGGCACGCTGCCAGACACTGACGGGCACTGACGGACACTGACAGACAACCTTGCCCGTGCCGCCAAGCGCCCTGAGTCGACTGCCACTGGCACTTGTCTGCTACACACACACACACACACCCCAACCATCCGTCGCCCGCCTCGTCGCACTACGTCGACGGCACACCAGACTGACGTCTACGACTGCCGTAGCCCGCCGTGCCCGTCATCTTTCTAGAAAAACCCGTCAACCATGACTCACTTTGCTCAGAATGCGGCATCTCATGCGATACTCGATACATCCCGAAACGTGCCACCTCCCCTTGCCGGGCCGGCGTTGCGTGCGTCAAAAAGTAGGTGTAGTCTATTCATGTCTTCATCCATCTATCTATCCATGTCTAAACCTGGGGCGAAACAACCTTTCAGGTACCGGCTCAACATCGACGTGCCTCACCCCTCTCACTGCATCGCTTGACGCAACTGCTGCACGTCTGACTGCATCTGAGTAACCACATATACACGGGCAGCTGCTTTGAAATACGCACAGTCAGCAGCACCACGACGCCACCAAAAGTCTCCCGTGCCCGCACGTGCATGCAACAGGCTCAGCGGCGTACATACATACGTCTACGCCAAGGCATTTGCAATCTGCACCTCTCCCACCCCCGTTGTCTTGTCCCATGAGTGAAGCGTGACACTTCGCATGTCCTGAACAATATAGTCGGCGCCCGCTTCCACCAGCTGTTCTAGCGTGTGGCTAGTGTACAGACCAACCACAACGAACCCCGCCGCTTTTCCTGACCGAATCCCCGCTGGCGCATCCTCAAATACAATGATCGAGGGCTTCTTCTTCTCCCCGAGCTCGAGCATCTCCGCCCCCATCCGGTAGCACGTGGGGTCGGGTTTGCCGTGGAGCACGTCTTCTGCCGTAACAAGGTTTTTCGGGTGTGCAAGCTTCATGACATCCAGCCAGCCCGTCACAAGCGGCCGCGTGCCCGACGTGACAATGCACCATGGAACGCCCTTGTCTTCGAGACTGTCAAGCATGGCACGAGAGCCCGGAATCTCGACCGCGTCGTGGCCAAATTCCTTGGGTACCAGTCCTTCGGCGTGTTTGATGTCTGTCTTGTCAGTTCCCAAGACCGGCTGGACAAGGGTCGATTACGCACACTCCCAGTTGGCGAGCTTGGGTTCGTACATCTGGAGCACGTCGATGGACCGCCGCCCATGGGATGTCGCCAGGATCACCTCGGGAGCAACCCCAATCTCTTTACCAATCCTGAGTGACGCCCACGTAAGCTTAACCACATGATGCCTCCCCCTACGCTCAACCTACTTGTGCCAGTGTTTTTCAATCGCAACCGTCGAATCGATGATGGTGCCACTGTATACTTTTAGCCATGATTAGTGATATACCAGACACGAGGCACCCACTCCATGTCGAAGAGCTACACAAAGTCAGTTTGTAAACATGCGGTCAGCACCATGTCGCTACTTACCAAGCCATGGCACTTGACTGTCTGCACAGGCGCTGAGAAGGAAGCCTCGGGTACTATCATGGTTGCACTCTGTCAAACACACCTAAAATTGGCTGCCAGTTGATGGTGTATGGTTGGAATATCTTGTGCAAGCTGAGAGGGATGATATATACAGGCAAGACAACAGAAGGCCATAGAGCTAGAGCGTTAGCCCGTATCAGGAATTCTATCCGATGTTTCCCGATAACACAGCCAATCACAACGCCGGCCCCGGGTAGTGGTCTAGCTTGTAATAGCCGCTATTGTAATCCAAGGTAGTCGTATTGGTATAACCCCACAATAGAGAAATGCACCCGATTCGCACATGCGGCAACTACGCGCCCATCATCATTTCCGACTGCTGGCAGCAGTAGGGAGAGTACGTATGTAAGCACGATGGAGGCAGTGGGGGGGGGGAGTGGTGGGTCCACGCTAGCTAGGCGGAAGCGGGCGGCAGTATTTTCCGTACGGCGAACTTTTTTGGAAGACGTCGAAATTTTGATCTCGATACTCACGCCCAACCCCAGCAATCCACAATGAAGGTCGGAAGTAAGAATCGCCGAGAGAAAATTGCCTTTGGCACAACTGACACAAAACCAGAACCAAAATCCAAGCGCGTACCCGTGCGCCTGCGCCACAAGATCGAAAAGGCGTCGGCGGCCAAGCAGAAGAAGGCGAGAAAGCTCGCAAAGAAGGTATGACCGGCGCGCGCAATGGCTGCGCTCATATACTCATGCGCGCAGGACCCCACATGGAGAAGCAAGACCAAGAAGGAACCGGGCATTCCCAACCTGTTCCCCTACAAGGACAAGATTCTGGCAGAGGCAGAGGAGCAGCGGAGGAAAAAAGAAGAGGAGAATGCGCGCCGACGGCAGCTCGCCAAGGAGCAAAAGCTGAATGGCACAGATGCAGAGAATGCTATGGAGGATGACGATGAGTTTGAGCAGTTTGACGCCGAAGGCGATGAGCTGCTTGCAGACGACAGCAGCGAGGATGAAGACTCGATGCAGGTGGTATGTCTGCCCGGCTGTACCATGATGCGCAAGCGTACTAAGACCTTGTAGGATGACAAGCTGAACCCCATGGCCGCGCTCTTGGCTTCTGCAAAAGCACGCGCCGCTGAATTCGAGAAGAAAAACGACGCGGATGCGGTGGAAGACAGCCAAGACGACGACGAGGATGACGAGGACGGCGGAGTCCAGGTCCGCAAGGACGCATCAAGGAAGCAATTCGACAAGGTCTACAAGCAGGTGGTTGACGCAGCAGACGTCGTCCTCTACGTCCTCGACGCCAGAGATCCAATGGGAACACGATCGAAAGAGGTGGAGCAGGCAGTCATGGCAGCAGACCGCTCAAGCAAGCGCTTGATATTCATCCTCAACAAGATCGATCTCGTCCCTCCGCCAGCCCTTCGAGCATGGCTCGTCCATCTCCGTCGCTCGTTCCCCACCCTTCCTCTGCGCGCATCGAAGCCTGCGCCCAACGCCAAGACGTTTGAGCACAAGGATCTCACCATGAAGGGGACATCTGAGACGCTTTTCAAGGCCTTGAAGACTTTTGCAGAGTCACGGCAGCTCAAGCGCTCGGTCAAGGTTGGAATCATTGGATATCCCAACGTCGGCAAGTCCTCGGTCATCAATGCCTTGACCTCGAGACTGGGAGGAAGGTCGGCTGGCTGTCCAACTGGCGCCGAAGCTGGTGTTACCACCAGCCTACGAGAGGTCAAGCTTGACAACAAACTGAAACTCTTAGACTCTCCTGGTATTGTCTTCCCCAACACAGAAGGATCCAAGGAGAGCAAAGTGCAGCAACAGGCCCGCCTCATTCTCCTCAACGCTGTGCCGCCCAGAGAAATTGAAGACCCCATTCCGGCTGTGCAACTTTTGCTCAAGAGGCTGTCGTCTTCGGAGGAACTGTTTTCCAAACTCATGGAGGTCTACGATCTGCCCCCGCTGCACACGGTGGGCAACGACAGGACGACCGACTTTTTGGTGCAGGTAGCAAGGAAAAGAGGTCGTCTCGGCAGGGGTGGTATACCCAACATGCATGCTGCCGCACAGACGGTCATCAATGACTGGAGAGACGGTCGCATCCAGGGATGGACAAGCCCGCCCAAGTATGTTCCTGCTGAGACTGCTACAACCAAGACGGCCCCCGCTCAAAAGGGTCTCGTGGGCGACCAGAAGGAGATTGTCAAGGAATGGGCTGCCGAGTTCAAACTCGAAGGTCTCTGGGGTGACGACTCGAATGATAACGCAGCTCCAGAGGCCATGGAGATGTAAGGGTAGTAAAAAAGAGTGCCTGGCGAAATGGCGTTTGTGTTGGGCCACAGTGTTGGCTTTTTTCTCAGAAGAGAACTCAGTCTCGACTAGATATTATAATCATATCATGACCGATGTTTATGATTTTCTGATTTTTCGCGAGTCGAATATGAGCATCGCTATCATGACCCATGTTTGCTGCAAATAGATGCCTGTCACGCCATAAACGCTTCTGACGATGAAAACCTTGTCCAATCCTGCACGTCATGTCAACCGCTGCTGACCGAATAGAGACTCCGACACCGGACCGTCTTGGTAGCAAAATCCTCTGTCCATGCAGCGACTCCACGCTGATTGTGGTTCGGCAGACATGCTTACTTTCATAACTACGTACAATGACTTGCCCCACACTTCGGTTTTCGTCGGCTCAATCCCAGAGCTCATGCGCGTCGAGCTGCACAGCTACAATACATAACGAGAAAGCTCAAACTTTGTGACTGCTCATCATTCCAAACACATCTACCTACAATGGGTTCATCAAAGGGTCTCCAGCCTCTTCGCTCTGCTACCAAGACCTTGAATGCGCTGCCGGCAGCGTATGCTGGTGCGCAAGTGGCCTCACGACGATATGCGGGGACGCTTGCCAACTTCAAGATCCCCGCTGTTAGCAACGAGCCCAACGTAAGTGCACGACCATGTGCGGCCCTCCCAATGTGTCTTGGACTGACTGAGAATACCAGCAACACTACGCCAAAGGCTCAGTAGACCGCCAGAAGCTTCAAGATGCGGTTGCACGCATGAAAAAGCAGGGCCCAGTCGAGGTCCCTCTTGCTGTGGGAGGAGAATACGTAAGATTGCGAAGACGGGAAATGGCATTGCATTTCATTGACAATTTCCAGATCAAAACTTCGTCCATCCTCACCCAGAACAACCCCTCGTCCCACGCCGACGTCATCGCCAAATACTCCAACGCTAGCCCAGCAGACGTCAAGAAAGCCATCGACGCCGCATTGGCAGCGAAGCCAGCATGGGAATCACTCCCGTTTGCCGAGCGCGCTTCAGTCTTCCTCAAGGCAGCAGATCTTATTTCCACAAAGTACCGATATGATATCATGGCCGCAACCATGGTGGGACAGGGCAAGAATGCATGGCAAGCCGAGATTGACGCGGCAGCGGAGCTCTGCGACTTTCTGAGGTTCAATGTCAAGTACGCCGAGGAAACATATGGCCACCAGCCAGCACACAATTCGCCCGGTGTATGGAAGTACGTAACCGTCGTCTGTAGTTGATGAGCGAAACTAACGGATATAGCCGCGTTGAGTACCGTCCCCTTGAGGGGTTCGTTTACGCCGTCTCGCCTTTTAACTTTACAGCCATTGGCGGAAACCTTCCTGCAGCCCCCGCTCTGATGGGCAATGTCGTTGTGTGGAAGCCATCCCCATCTGCGATTGCCTCCAACTGGCTCCTCTACCAGATTCTGATTGAGGCTGGCCTTCCACCAAACGTTATCCAATTCGTCCCCGGTGACGCCGTAGAGGTTACACAGGAAGTCCTGGCTCACAGGCAATTCGCATCCCTCCACTACACTGGCAGCACAGCCGTATTCCGTCAACTGTATGGAAAGATTGCCACCGGTGTTGCCGAAGGCAAGTACCAGAGCTACCCCAGGATTGTTGGTGAGACTGGCGGCAAGAACTTCCATCTCGTTCACAAGGATGCCGATATTCACAATGCTGCTATTCAGACGGTCCGCGGTGCTTTTGAGTACCAGGGTCAGAAGTGCAGTGCCTGCTCGCGTCTCTACGTACCCGAGTCAGTATGGCCAGAGTTCAAGGACATTCTTGTAAAGGAAGTCTCGGCTCTCAAGGTTGGCGAGCCTTCTGACTTTTCCAACTTCATTGGCCCTGTCATTCACGAAGCCTCGTTCAAGAAGCTCTCTGGCGTCATTGACGCTGCCAAGAACGACAGTGACCTGGAGCTCCTTGTTGGCGGTAAATACGACAGCAGCAAGGGATACTACATCCACCCAACCGTCTACCGCACCAAGAACCCCAACCACCCCCTCCTGTCACGTGAGCTGTTTGGCCCGATCTTGGTGGCCTATGTCTACGATGACGCCGCTCCCGACGCCTTTGCCAAGATCATCAAGCAGATCGACGAGACATCCGAGTACGCCTTGACGGGCGCCGTTTTTGCCAAGGACCGGGAGACGATCAAGTTTGCTTCGGACAAGCTCAGGGATACGGCCGGTAACTTTTATATCAACTGCAAGTGCACGGGCGCCGTTGTTGGCCAGCAGCCATTTGGTGGCTCGAGGGCTAGCGGGACTAACGATAAGGCTGGTAGCGCCACGCTCCTTGCCAGATTTGTCAACATGAGGGCTGTCAAGGAGGAATTCCTGCCCACGGAGAAGGTGGCTTATCCTAGCAATGAAGTCTAAGCAACTTGCGGTTGGGCATTATGTGGATTTGATCCAACATGGCAAAAAGCAGATGAGCATTTGTATTGGCGTTTTGGCTAGGGTGGGAATTTGCAGGAATTTTCAACGACCTTGTTGGATGTTAAATGGCGGAGGATATCAATCTTTGCAACATGTCTATGTGTGCATGTATATACACATATTGATACGAATATGAAAAAAAAAAACACGAAGACTATTTTTTTTTCCCCTTCCGAACACTCTCCACCCGCCACTTCAACAATTTCGTCCGGTCGCCTTCTCCCGGGCAACAAAATCTCCCGACGCGACACACCATGTGACGTACCCCCGTACTTGACACCGAAGTTCAAACACGCATTCATGCATGTAAGACGGACCCGGATGTTACACCTACCTACCTACTTACTTACTTACTTACTTACTTACACGTGACATACAGGAGATGTACATCCCACCATCTGTCCCCCTTTTTTCCATGCGCTTGTGCGTAGACTACAGCGGTGCAGGAATCGATGCGCAGACTGCATATACGATACGTGTATGGGGCTAGCTAGAAAGTGCTAGCTAGGAAGTGCTAGTTGGTGGATGGCGGATGGCGGCAAGGAACGCAGAATGAAAGCTAAATATGTATGTATGTATGTATGTATGTAGGAAGGTAAGGGAAGGTAAGGCGCAGAGCAGATATCGTGACATGGCGTCCCACATGGGCATGGCATGGCATGGCATGGCATGGCATGGCGTGATCAAGCCATGTTAGTCAGTCATCTTCTCAACTAAGTACGTACGTACATTACAAAACCTTGCAAACTTGACTAAGTAAGTAATCGCTTGCTTGCATGTGTGTGTGTATTGCTTACTTTATCCACGTATGTACCCATTAACTACTTTAGCAACTAAATAACTAAACTAACCTCTGGCTCCCCACAAACGGGAGAAAAATCATGATGATGATAACAACGATGATGATGATGATGATGATGATGATGATGATGATGATGATGATGATGATTAATCAGTCAATGCAGGTAAGAAAATTCGAAAATGCGGGATTCGGTGAAATCTTGGGGTTTACTGTATTTTTTTTTGGTTTTAGTTTTGGTTTTTGAACAATACTATAACCTCGGTACAGTACGTACTTACTTGAATTCGAGTACTGCTGAGTTGGATTGGAACGTGCAAATGATACAATGGGACACGAGATTTGAGACGTGTACGTATACAACGCGTGATTACACATACGCGCATATGCACATGGATAGATACACGTACATGGACAGATATACAGACACATGTGCACGCACATGTACATGTACACGTGCGCAGGAACGGGAACAGGAACAGGAACAGGACGGCACGGCACGGGCACGGCACGGGATGGGATGGGATGGGATGTGAGCTATGGGCGGGTATGTGTGTGTGTGTGTGGACGAAAAAAAAAGATAACTCGTAATAAGCATAAACCATAACAATAACAATTCAACTTACCACTACTCTGGTAACTATGTACGTACGGGAAGACGCCAGCATCATGGGAATCATTGGGGAGAAAAAAAGGGGGGAGGGGGGGATGTGGACGGGTTTGGCTAAAAGCCCATCGGGACTGCATGTGGATTGGGACTGGGACGGGCTTGGACGGGACGGGTTGGATTTGGCGGGATGGTAGCGGGATGGTAAGTAGCGGGAGTGGGATAAAAATAAGAAATAAAGTAAAAAAAAAAAAATTGGGGAGGGAAAGGAGAGGAGATGAGATGAGGTGGAATGAGATGGAATGAGATGGAAAGCCAAGGGACGGCACGGGGAATGCGAAAGGGCGAAAGAGAGAAGAGGGCGAAAAGGATGGTGGATGGTGGATGGTGGCTTCATTTCACTTGTAGGTAATGGCGAAGATGAAGATAGAGAGATAGAGAGAGAAGGAAAAAAAAAGGAATATCTACCAAGCCACACACACACACACACAAATGGTTTCTTCGAGGGAAATCAGGAACAAAGAGCTACTTGGAATAAAAGTGCATAAAGTATTTACGACTTCTCTTTGTATATTGCAAGCCCGTTTTTTTCCCCTGTGATGTACCGTGCGTCGGTAACGGGTACCGTGTGACTGCAGTGTACATATGTACTAGTAGTTATTTGCAAGCGTGTCTTTTTTTTGGGGGGGTCATTGTGCAAGAGTCGAGTCCCGAGGTAGGTGTGTGTGTTTGGCGGACGGTGCGCGGCGGGTGATGGTGGTGGTGGTGGTGGTGGTGGTGTTGCGACTACACCCTCTGGACCGCGCTGGCGGGTCCCGCGCCCAAAGTTAGTTTCCTGGGAGACGAGGTCTGGGAATAATTTTGGGTTATTCTGGGCTTCCGGGCAAGGCCAGGGAGGGGCAAAAGGCCATGCAGAGCAACAGATACGCGACGTGATACGGAGTGGAACGACAGCCGATTGCTTGTGGTTATGCCGTGTTGGGTACCGTAGGCCAGGTCGCCCATTGGATGTGTTTCTGACACAGAGTAAGGGAAGGGTGCTGCACCGGAATGACGTGATGGATCGGGGGGGTGTAGGTACGAAGGTGTTAGAGACGTTGTCGGGGTCGGTACATGGCGTTTGGGCCCGACAGGGTAGAGCGGAGCGGACATGGCGATGCATTAACTCCAGTGTCGGTCGGGGGACGGAGCCTTATGACATGCCGTATTCAGCCTCAAGGTGCGACGACTGGTGCGCGTGATTACGGCCGTAGCCGTGTAAGAGCCGCAGCCTAGGCATAGGCGTAGAGGCAAACAGTCTTGCTCCGTCATACGAGGGTACAACGACAAAAAGGCTGCAGTGGCAACAACATGTCGCGAGTTGGATGGATCGGCGAGGGCTTGTTAATATGTCTGTTGGTGTTGACACAGAGATTGCAGGGCGCAATGCAGCTATGCATCATAGCCTACACATGTCTCTTGTAGAACCGGGCAACCCGGGTTTAGACATGTTACCAAACCCGCCGTCTTTACTGTCGTCTAGCAGCACTGCAACGGCAATATTATATATATAAAGCCTACAGAATTCCAGAGAATCAACGTCTTCCATGTAGATTCGATTTTTACAAGATACAAGCAGTCTTCAAGCAGTGTAACTACCATCAAAGCTGGCAGCTGCCATGTTTAAAGCCGGTTCGTCGGCCATTTTAACCCCGACTTTCCAAAGGGACATAACCCTCTGCCAATTCTCCGACCGTCCGCTCCAAGCCCCTCCCCGCCTAGCGCCCGCACCTGAAGACGTGGACGGGTGGAGTAACTAGGTGTAAAGGCGCGAGAGCGAGCTAGAAGCAGAGTCCAAGGGCGAGTCTTCTTGCCGCCTCTTCAACCCTTTCCGTCCATGGCTCTGCGCGCGCGTTGCAACCTCGGCAACTCCGTGCAGGCCAGGAAAAGAGGCTGAAAACTCTAGTCAACCCTCAGCAGCCCTATGACGATGCGCCGTCGCCGCCATCTGCGCAGACATGGGAAGGCAGAGGGCCTCTGTGCATGCATGCAGCATTTGTAACCACTATCCGTTTCGCTCGTCGCGCGTAATTGGCTCGGGCGCATGCGTTTTTGGTGTTCCCAAGCCACGGCGGCCTTTGAACAGGCTTAGTGCCTTCACCACTCGGCCGAGGATCCTCAGACTTTTAGCCATCATGCTGTCATCGGCTCAGGGATGGCACTGCTGCAGCGGCGCGCGATGCAAGTCGGGAATGGTTCCAGGTCGCTGGGCAGCAGCGGGAAACATGCCTCGACCGGCTCGTTTCGTCCACGCCCTTGTGACTGGGCGGTGGGCAGAAACGACGTTGTTTATATGTAGCGGACTCCCGCCCATGGGCAAGATCTGCTCCCTCGTCTTCCAAGCCACATCTTCCCGCCATCCGCAACCTTTGGCACCCTCCCCCTGATAGCCTTAACACATCTTCATCTTTCTTGGGTTCTGTGCATAGCTTGGCACGCCTCTGCTGTTACCCTTAGAGACGTCAGCACGTTACACCACACTGCTACGCCAGCATACGGAGCCGACGATACAGCAGCCATGGAGAAGGACCGAGAGGTTGCTCCTGGCTCTACCGCCAACGCCAGCAATGATGCCCCCACCAACAACATTCCCGCCGACGCCATCAACACCAACCTCGACCTCGAGTCTGGAAAAGAAAGCATCTCCCATTGGCAGATGCTCGTCGACCAGGGTGTCCTCACCCGGCAGATCATCAACTATGATTACGAGGGTTCCGGAACTGACGAAGATCCCTATGTTGTCGAGTGGATCGACAACGACCCAAGGAACCCCATGACTTGGACCAAGAAGAAGAAATGGATCATTACGCTGACTGTAGCCAATGCCGTTCTCGTCGTGTCCTTTTGCTCGTCGGCCTTTAGCGGAGGTACCGTCTTCTGCCTATTCCTAGTCTCAACGTCTATCATACTGACACTTGCTAGGCATTGCGCACATCATGCAGGAATTCCATGTTAGCCAAGAAATCGTTACCCTCGGTCTTTCGCTCTTCGTTCTCGGATTCGCACTCGGGCCTCTCCTATGGGCGCCCTTTTCCGAGCTGTATGGTCGCCAGGTCGTCTTCCTTGGCACGTATTTGGCTTTTGCAGCCTTCAACGGCGGTGTCGCGGGCGCCCCCAATATTACCGGACTACTTATTCTCCGATTCCTCGCCGCGGCCTTTGGTTCCAGTCCTTTGACCAATGCCGGAGGTGTCATTGCTGATATGTTCCCCGCCCATGAGCGAGGCATCGCCATGAGTATCTTCTCTGCTGCGCCTTTCATGGGTCCCGTCATTGGCCCTGTCATTGGTGGATTCCTCGGTATGACTGAAGGGTACGCTTATTCAGACAATTTACCTCACAAGACAGTAGCTGACTCATGATTCAGATGGAGATGGGTCAACGGCCTGATGGCAATGTGGGCCGGTGCTCTTTTCTTCGTCACTATCCTCATAGTCCCCGAGACCTACAGTCCCGTCCTGCTCCGCAAGCGCGCTGAGAAACTATCCAAGCTGACCGGTAAAGTGTACCGATCTCGCATCGACATCCACTCAGGAAAGGTTTCGCTCAAAGAGGCTTTTGCGACTGGACTCAAGCGCCCCTGGATCCTCCTCTTCTGCGAACCCATTGTCCTCCTCCTCTCCATTTACCACGCCATCATCTACGGTATTCTCTACATGCTTTTCGGAGCTTTCCCCATTGTCTACCGCCAAGGACGTGGCTGGAACGAGGGCGTCAGTGGATTGCCCTTTATTGCCGTCGCTATTGGAGTCGTCTTTGCCATGATCTACGTCATATTTATCGACAACAAAACCTACCAGAAGAAGGTCCAGGCATCTGGCCGTGGCTACGCCGCTCCCGAGGACCGCTTGCCCATGTGCATCATCGGTGGCATCGCGCTTCCCACTGGTCTTTTCTGGTTTGCCTGGACAAACTATCCGTCCGTGTCATGGGTTGCCAGTGTTGTCGGTGCTATCCCGTTCGGATTCGGCATGGTTCTCATCTTCCTCTCCCTCATGAACTACCTCATCGACTCGTACACCATCTTTGCAGCCTCCGTCCTGGCAGGTAATGGTGTTATCCGGTCCATATTTGGTGCTGCGTTCCCGCTCTTCACCAAGCAAATGTACAGCAACCTTGGCATCCACTGGGCATCGTCGGTCCCTGGCTTCCTTGCCCTACTTTGTCTCCCGCTTCCCTTCCTGTTCTACAAGTATGGAACGGCTATCCGCGAGAAGTGCAAGTACGCTGCAGAGGCTGATGCCTTTATGCAACGCCTTCGCGCCCAGCAAGGGGCCAAGGAGGCACGGCAACGGGGCTCTAGTCCTGAAGCCAATTCACCAAACACGTCTCGCGCCAACACCCTTACGCCGCAGGAACCTGCTGAGGAGGAGCAGGAGCAGACGCATGCAGACACATCCGAGCCGAGGTTCCAAGAGATGAAGGCTGAAAAGGAGTCTGACAGCGATGGTTTGAAGAGGGTGGCCACCGGACGTTCATCGAGAAGCAGGAGGACAGTGCGCGACGTCGAGTTTGAACCGAACCCGTTCGACATTGACCGGGTCAACACGAGGGAGTCGTTTGCGAACAGGCCGCGGAGCAACAGCCGGGCAAGCTCCAGGCGGCGGTAGACATGTGTTACGAAGTTGTTTTTGGAAATTGCGTTTTCACGGTTCAAAAGTTGCGTCGAAGCTTGACGGATAGAAACAGTATACCCCTTTTATGTCAGGACCAATAGTCGGTTCTAGTTAGTCTAATACCATGTATAATACAGAATTACCATGAATCTTTGCTTGCTGCGATTGATGGATGCCGGGCAATGCTTGTGCTGATGGTTGCTTTTGCTAAAAGGACGTCTTGGTGAGGTGGCGGATGTGGACGGATCGGGGATAAGGAGGCTTGGCAGTCATGTGCCGGGGAAGCGCCACGGTCAACGTCTCACCTCCAGCCATACAGTAATAGCCCGTGCCTGGCCGTCTCCAGGCCACATTGCGCAATGCACCAAGTGATGCAACCACCATGCCGCGTGTGCGCACCCGTCATGTCGCTTTCTGCGTCGCCATTATCGTCTGTTTCTACTATTTCTTTCCCCAAAACACACGGTTCCCATCCAGCCATAGCAGCCATGGCAGTCCTGGCGCCAGCGAGGAGGCGACGGCCGTACTGGCACGCTATATGAACGATCCCAGATATGTTCCCGCGATTCGTTCAACACCAAGTAGCTTCGACTGGAGCTCGGTCAATTTCACCTATCCCCTGCCGCTCAAGCCTGGGACGCCCGCCCCTATTAAGAACCGCCCTCGGATACAGCACACGTTCAAGCCCGACGACCCCAGCGCACATGCAGAGCAGGAGGCGAGACGACTCGAGGTCAAGAGGGTGTTTGAGAAGAGCTGGGCCAGCTACAAGCGCAAAGCATGGATGAAGGATGCCCTGAAGCCCATCAGCGGTGGGTACGTCGACCAGTTTTCTGGCTGGGCGGCGACGTTGGTGGATAGTCTGGACACATTGTGGATCATGGGCATGCGCGACGAGTTCTACGAGGCAGTCGAGGCAGTCGCGAAGATTGATTTTGGCTCCTCCACATCACCCAGGGTGAACACGTTTGAGACGTGTATACGGTGAGTTTTGATGTGTGCGAAGCTTGGAGCCACAGACTGACTTGGGATCGGTAGATACCTAGGCGGGCTCCTGGCTGCGTATGACCTGAGTGGACACCAAGTGCTAAAGGAAAAGGCAATCGAGGTGGGCGATTTGCTGTATGCCGGATTCAACACCGAGAAGGGCATACCGGTCGATTTCATCAACTTTGAAGAGGCCAAGCAAGGTGGAGGCTTAACTGTGGAGAGCGAAGTGGTCAGCGCCAGCCCGGGCACCATCACTTTGGAGTTCAGCAGACTCAGCCAAATCACGGGCAACGACAAGTACTACGCCGCAGTATCACGCCTGATGGAAGTATTTTACCAGGGCCAGAATTCCACAAAGCTACCTGGAATGTGGCCCATGATGGTGTCTATGCGTAGGCAGGATGTGATATCCGGATATCAGTTCACCATTGGAGGGAATGCAGATTCCCTGTACGAATACCTCCCCAAGGCGCACGCTTTGCTTGGCTCGGACGATCCCAGCGCGCACAAGTACGAAGTCATGTCACGCACTTTTATGGATACGGCGATGAAGAATCTCTTCTTCGCGCCTATGCTACCAGAAAAGAAGGATATTCTGATTTCGGGAAACGTCGACGTCCTTGAAGATGGACCTAGTCTTGATCCTGAAAGTGAGCACCTTTCGTGTTTCATTGGTGGATTGTATGCGCTCGGTGGGCGGCTGTTTAGCAACACTGAGTACCTGGACATTGGAGCCAAGTTGGCGCGCGGCTGTGCTTACGCATACGAAGCCTTCCCCACGGGGATTATGCCGGAGAGATACAACATGGCCCTGTGCCCCGGCCCAAACCACCGCCAACCCTGCGCTTGGGACGAAAAGCGTTACGCTAAAGACGCAGCTGCACGACCACAGCACAAACCTCATCTTCCCAAAGGATTCACTACCGCCAAGGATCCTCGTTATATTCTCCGTCCCGAGGCCATCGAGTCTGTCTTCATCCTGTGGCGCATCACCGGCGAGCCTGGGTGGCGTGAGACTGCATGGAAAATGTTCAAAGCGGTAGCCACAGCGACCGAGACGGAGCTTGCGAATGCGGCCATCATGGACGTGACGATCAAGGGATCGGATAAGGAAGATTACATGGAGAGTTTCTGGATGGCGGAAACGCTCAAGTATTTCTACTTGTGCTTCACGGACCCGACTCTGATCAGCCTGGATGACTTTGTGCTGAACACCGAGGCTCATCCTTTGCGCCTATTCAAGGGATTTCAATGAAAGCTGGATGTATAGGGATTGCATGTAAGGAGTACAAAATGAGTTTGATTTTTCTTGGCATTCACAACTTTCGTCAAACCTTGACATTGAAACCTACTCCTCCCGCCGGCACGGCATCCCACATGAGCCGTCTGCCTGTGATCAGCATGACGCTGCAAGGCTTATTGGCGCATGTCTTGCTTCGATATTTATAACCGGGACCCCCGTCCTTTTGCCTTTTTGATTCCGGGCAGCACACAGTCAGCAATGAACTTTATCAACGCCCTTTCTTCCTTTTCCTTCTCTTTCCTTCCTCTCTTCGTCTCTACCTCAGAGCATCACGTCTTCGTTGTTCCATCTCCCATCCGTCTCCATTCGTTAATATATTTGCCGCGCTAAAGACTTGAAGATTTCCCTACACCACGCTTCTCACGACAACAGAATCCAGCTTGTCTGGCAACGAATCCCCCGCAAACCTTAATCACCCTGAACCAACAGGGCAACGAAAAGCAAACAAATACGTCTGTATAGCTGGATAGTACCTAGTAATTCCAAAAGCGATGCGTTTTTCACTCGTAGCAGCCGCGGCTCTAGCCGCCACTCCGGCCGTTGTGTGTGCCGCCAAGGGCACCATGGGCTTTGCGCTGGGAACCAAGATGGCCAACGGCCAGTGCAAGACGCAGCAGGACTACGAGGCCGACTTTGATGCCATCAAGTTTCAATCGGACGCCACCATGGTGCGAGGCTACTCTGCGGCCGACTGCGACATGGCCAAGCATGCTCTTGCGGCTGCAAAGGCAAAGGGCTTCAAGGTTATGTTGGGAATCTGGTATGTTGTAATTTCCAAGCCTCTTTCTTTCTTTCTTTCTCGCTATCTGCCTGTCTGGTTATCCATGCTATAACCGCAGGATACAAGGACTTTTCCAACTCTTGACCCTGGACTACACCTCGAAAGTCTGGATATAAATCTAAAAACAATACCCCCCCTCACTACATTCTTACCAACACCCCAAACTAACCTCCCCCCCCTCCTCCAACCACAGGCCCGACGTCGAAGCATCCTTCAAGCGGGACCTCGCGGCCGTCATTGCCGTCGCATCCTCGTACCCGGGTACTCTGTACGCGGTAACGGTAGGCTCGGAGACGCTGTACCGGCGCAACTTCACGGGCGCGGAACTCGCCGACAAAATCAGCACAGTGAAAGCGCAGCTGCCCGAGGGCGTCAAAGTCGGGACGGCCGACACGTGGAACCGGATTGCCGATGGCACTGCCAACGCGGTACTTGGCGTATCGGATATCCTGCTCATAAACGCATTTGCATTCTGGCAGGGCGCCGCCAGAAACGACGCACCCCGGATCCTGTTCGACGATATGGCGCAGGCGGTTAGGCGTGTGGAGAGCGAGCTTAAGGGGGACAAGGATAAGATACCGGAGATATGGTGAGTTATCCCCTCTCTCCCCTTGTATTGCACACACACACATACATACACATACACACACATACATACACTCAGCCATCTAACCACGTCTTGTGTTTGAAAAAAAAAACAGGGGCGGCGAAACAGGCTGGCCCACATCCTCAGACTCGCACTACGAAGATGCCGTCGGCGGCTTGGACAACGCGCGCTACTACTACCAGCACGGGTACTGCGGCATCGTGAACTGGGGGTACAATGCGTTTTACTTTGAGGCGTTTGACGAGCTGTGGAAGCCCATGTCCGTCGGCAAGAATGGGCATGCGGCGGATGAGACGACGTGGGGGGCTATGACGGCGGATAGGAAGGCCAAGTTTTCGCTCAAGTGCTAGATGGCGCGTTTTGCGTGTGTGGGGATGAGGATGAAGGAAGGGGGGGGAAAGATAGAGGGAGGCGGAGGAGATGGGGGGGATGTAATGTGTGGGTATGGTTGATAGGAGGAATGGTAACGCTGTGTATGGCGAGAATATATGTAGGACGAAATAAAATTATTCATCGTGTATTGACACGATACTTTGGGATTACAAAGACACATGATGCACCTTTTGTGTAAAGATTTGGTATATGCGTGAACTTGGTGGATTGCATTGCATCAAGGTATTCTTACTGCTATTCTAACGACAAGAGCCCTCCCTCGTGCTTTGCTTGCATCATCACCATCATCATCATCGCATGAACGGCAAGAAAGAAAAAGAGAAAAGAAGAAAGAGAAGAAAAAAAAGCCAAAAAGTCAGAACTCGCTTATAAAACTAACCCCCCACCCTCTGATAATCCAAGCCCTCAATCTCATCCGCAGGCGTACTCGCACCGGTGCTGGCAGCAGAACCCTCTGAAAACAGACTGGAGCTATGCGATCCTACTCTTGACAGCTGCATCAGCGACTGCTCGCTCGAAGACGATCTCTCGAGCGCATTAGAGATGACTTCTTCGTAGTCTGGGGCGAATTCTCCCGATGGTTCTCGCGGACTATATCGTGGCAGAGGCTCCATGTCCTGGGCGTCTTCGTCTTCTAGCGACGGGGAGCGCGGTATGCGTGGTAGGATGTGCAGAGAGGTGGTGGAGCGAATGATAAAGTGCTGGTCGTTGTATTTGATGCCGATTGAGACGTCGAGGGCGTAGCGGCGGGTAATGGTGTATGTCTTGAAAGTGGGTATGCATTCTGCGTCGTCGATGAGGCGGAACGTGGATGATGTCAGGGCGACGGTTTTGTTGAAGGGGATGGGGGGCTGCATGTTTGTTCGCGCTATGCAGTTGACGTGCTTGGAGACGCTGTCTTCTGGGTGTGTTGCCGAGTTGCCGCATATGGTTGTCGAGTAGGTGGAGATGGTGACGGATAGCGAGTCGATTGTACATTGTCGTTCAGCGTGGTTGCAGGGGTCACGTGAGTTGATCAGGTTGAGGGATAGTGGTATGTGCTGTCCTGGTGCAATGGCGGTAGGGTGGTAGAATGTCGGCACGATTCGTGGTGTCGAGTTCATGGAGACGCCGGAGAATACTTTCTTGACACGAGACTCGTCCTTTTCCCTGCATGGCTTCCATGTTTGACCGTAAAGTACGGTTGAGGTGGATCTAGCTCTGGTTGGCGCGCCCGCTGGTGGCTTGGGCTGATAGCGCAACGTGTGTTTGCATCGCTTCGTCTCGGTCGAGCCGGCCAGAGTCATTCTTGCTTGAACAAAGTACGATATCTGTGCCCAACCACCAGGGATGTCTGTTTTGAGGCGGAGAGATGGCGGCAGTGGGTGCGGTTCCCTCATGTAGTCGGGGCCGTGTACTGCGCGCTTGTACTGGGGCTCAGTAGACTCTGGAAAGACAAATTCAAAGGCCCATGAGTACTTTTTTGGCGCCAGTTGGCAGCGAGTCAGGATCGACTTTTCGCGGTTGAACAGCCGTATCTTCTCTTCGTAGGGTTGTCTCGATGGATCCTCGTCGGTAGTGCTGTATACAGACAAAGGCCTGGTCCTGGTCGTCTTTGTGATGCAGCTTCCAGCAAAGACCAGTTTGAGCGATTCAATCTGCGCCTGATCTTCTACTACCAGCCAAATCTGGCCGGTGACCTTTTCGCCTGCATGGTACACTTTGTTGTTGTCGCCGTCAACCGTCACTCTCAGAACTGGCACCGTCATGTTTGCTGAGCGACTAGTAAGGTAAGGACCATGTAAAGTCAAGGGCGGAAGAGTGGGTATAAACGAGTCGTCCTAGGACTGGGCACGCGGTTATCAGTGTAGTTGGGAGCAGGACAACGTTTGCCGGGGTAGGATGTGCGCCAAGGAATGCGGGATATGCTAGGCATGCACGCGACACGATGATAAGGGCAGGTGGAGGAGACGGGGTTCTTGGAAAATGGCGGCGGAGTGCAGGTTGCTATTGGACATAAGCACTACAAGTTGCTGGCCTTATTTTGAGTGCGTTCCGTGGCTTGGGAGGTGATTCCGCTGACGGGGAAGGCCCATGAAGAGGCCGGGAGCAAGCGAGGCATGTATGTGGTCTTGTCACGAGCGGTGGAAAAGGACTGTCGCAGTAAGTAGAGAAAGTCATGAAGCACACGTGTCTTGTTCATGGAGCATGGCTGAGCTGAAGACGCGTTGTTCAAGCCCCAAAGTCCACTCCGCACAGCAGTCCATGGCGGAAGACAGCCAAGCCGACGTGGTGCTCTTGGCCGGCAGTCTGGATCCAGCCACGCTGATACCCCGGATTCAGCCCGCTAGCTCGATACTGCTGGCCCACGCGGGCCCAAAAGTCCAGCTGAGCCCACATGTGTATTGTGCATGTGGGTGTAGCACTGTGCTGGAGGCGGCATCTCGGGCCCTGCGTTTGTTGTTTGTTGTAGCAGCGGAAAAGAACATGACATGTGCCGGAGCACAAGGACGCTGACTCCAACATTGGCGTCGCGGCGCGGGCTCAAAGGCTGCTTGGCGCTTGTCCAAGACATGGACGGCGGACCGACTCGCCAGGAAAAAGACGGCAGATGGAGGGGTTGTGGTGAGAAACGGGCTGGGCACGCGCGGTGACAAGAGTGGCAGCGAGAGTAGCAGCGAGAGTGAGCGAGAGTGAGCGGGAGTGAATGGGCTGGGCTGGGCAGTTCCGCCGCGCCCAAGCCCAAAAGAAATCGAAGCAGACTAGACCCAATGCAGTTAGCGGCTGCTCAGGTTCTTCTGTGCAAGGGCGGTTCTTCGGCGTACCGACCCGCCGGCACTCGGAAACCGTCGTCAAAACGTCATGCACTTTTTTGCGCCGCACCCACGCAGCACGGCGACGACGACCTTGGCCAGTCACCACCAACCGCCGCTTTTTCTTTTGTTGCGCCTGTGGCCATGATGCACAGTGCAGCCCTCACACTCTCCACCCAGCAGCTTTGAACAATTGACGGCGCGGCAATGTCAGATGGCGGAAAGCGCCCGTCTTCCTACTGTGAGTGCCGTGTCGAGCCAAGCGCCCCCGAGGCCTCTAACATGGGCGCAGTCCACTTCTTTGCCGGCTTGAACTCGGGCATCCTGTCTGCAGTCCTCCTCCAGCCGGCCGACCTCCTCAAGACGCGTGTCCAGCAGTCGCGGTCCAGCACGCTGTTTGGCACCATCCAGTCGATAGCCAGCGGGCCAAACCCCATCCGGCACTTCTGGAGGGGCACGCTGCCAAGTACACTGCGCACAGGCTTTGGCTCTGCCATCTACTTCACCAGTCTCAATGCCCTGCGCCACCGAGCGAGCCTGCTTGCCGCGGCGAGGGCCGATGTCGCGCACAGGGGAGGCGACCACTCGAGCTCCCTGCCCAAGCTGAGCAACACGGCCAATCTCGCAACCGGCGCCGTTGCACGCACATGGGCCGGCTTCGTCATGATGCCCATTACCGTGCTCAAGGTGCGCTACGAGAGCAACCTGTACGCCTACACTTCGCTGTTTTCGGCCTCGAGGGACATCTTCCGCACAGAGGGCATCAAGGGCTTCTTTGCCGGCTTTGGCGCAACGGCCGTCCGCGATGCACCCTACGCGGGGCTCTATGTTTTGTTCTACGAGCAGTCGAAGCGGCGGCTATCCAACCTCGCGACCCGCATGGAGGAGACGTCGGGCGCATCCACCAAGCTCTCGTCGAGCACTTCCGCAGGCATCAACTTTGTCTCGGGTGTCGCGGCAGCTGGGCTGGGGACAGCGATCACGAACCCCTTTGACGCCATCAAGACACGCATCCAGCTGATGCCGGATCAGTACGGAAACATGGTGCAGGCCAGCAAGAAGATGCTGGCCGAGGAGGGCGTGCGGAGCTTGTTTGATGGGCTAGGCATTAGGATTGCCCGAAAGGCAATCAGCAGTGCACTCGCCTGGACCGTCTACGAAGAACTGATCCGGCGTGCACAGAGCTTGAAGGAGGCGGTCGAGGACAAGATGTGAGGCACGTGTGATTGTATGATAGTGCGAGTAGATGCATGGGCGGCGTTTACGGGCGCCGACTGCTGGCTATTAGGACTAGGCACCTCTTCGCTCCACTCGACCCTGTCCTTGCCCTGATTGGCCAATCTCAACTGCCTATGCTGCTGACGCTAGAGCCGCTTATATAATCCAGCACGTGACTACACACGTGACCAGCATGGCGGGGCTGCACGTGAGCTCCTTGTTGCGTGCTGCCTTACACACACCAGACGAGCAGCTCCAGCGCCCAACACGCCTATTCCACCAGCTGCCTGCGCGAGGCTCAGCGGGTATGAGGCTGACGGATGCACCAGCACATGCAGCAGGATTTCCGCCCCCGCAGCAAGCATTTGGTGAAGACGAGTCAAGCGTCTTATTATTATCTAGTGGTACCGACTAGGGCGCGCCCCCACCAAACCACCTTTGGCCCCTCGATACACGCCCAAGCGGCACGGTACAGAGGCCACGAAGCATTGCACAACCGCCATGGCAGCGCCTATCTGGTACGCTCAGAGTATCAAGGACATGCCGACTTCCACGCACCCGGCTGCCAGCAAAGGGCGGTGATCCATGGGCCACCACATGTTCAGCAGACCAGCGCCTAAACTGCACCCCCGGCCTCAGCCCTGGCGGTTGCCTGCCTGATGACTAGCTGCATCGCGGGAGCCTTTCAGCCCCCAACTACGGCATGATGGCGCCCTCTCTCAAATACTCTGCTGCCGCACCTTCGAGCTGATTCTTTCGTGCTTACCTGTGTTACCTTGCTGTTCTGCTGCATCACATCAGCACCCCCATCATCATCAGCATCCCGCTCTGCAGGGTGCCGCCCACGCCCCAGCTGAGACAAGACAAAAGCAGTCTCCTTGATTGCTGCTGCTCTTGGATAGCTACGCCCTTTACCTCCCTACACACACCAGACACGTGCCTTTTGTCTCTTACCAATCCGTCTGCCCATCATGGTGCGTCCAGACTCGTGGGACGACAGCTACGAAGACGACGAATGGTATTCCAGAAAAGACCGCGTCACGGCCAGCACTCGCCATGTCCGTGCCGCATCTCCTCTGCCAACACCACAAAGAGTCCGCGACGACCAGATCCTTCGACCCGACTACGGCCGTCGCACAAGTGAGTTCTTGGCTCCTGAAGTCCACTACACAACCAGCCTCCATCGCACTCGCTCCCAGGGTCACGCGCCAGTTCCCAATGTGACCATTTACAACACCTCTCGCCTAGACAACGAGAGCAGCCCTCATGTACGCACCGAGCAGAAGAGCCGCGAGGACAGCCCGCGCGGTCGTCAAGAGACCAAGCGTATGCCCGGTGCTTTTGAGCTCGAAGAGGAGATTATTGCATTGAGGAAAGACCTGAAGAAGGAGCATCGTTCTCGTTCCCGACACGAGTACGAGCATCGCGTGCCAGAGACCGACATTACCGACAAGATCAAGTTGACTCTGGCTGAGCAGCGTCTCAAGGATCTTGAAATCGAACGAGAACGGTCTCGACACGAAAGGGAACGAGAGAGGTCTCGGCATGACAGAGACCGATCGAGGCACGAGTATGAGCATCCTCGCGCGCCAGAGACTGACATCACCGACAAGATCAAATTGACCTTGGCCGAGCAACGTCTCCGGGACCTTGAGATTGAACGTGAGCGGTCTCGACACGACAGAGACCGATCGAGGCACGAGTATGAGCATCCCCGCGCGCCGGAGCCCGATATCACCGACAAGATCAAATTGACCTTGGCCGAGCAGCGTCTCAGGGACCTTGAGGTTGAGCGAGAGAGAGCCAGACATGTGTACGAGCAACCTCGTTTGCCTGAACCCGACATCAATGACAAAATCAAGTTGAGTCTGGCCGAGCAGCGTCTCAAGGACCTCGAGAACGAGCGCGAGCGAGAACGAATGGAGCGATATCAGCTGCAGCACCAGCGTCACCACTCGCGCGATCACAGCGCTGAAGACAAGGTGAAGCTAGCTCTCTCTCAGCAACGACTGAAGGATGCCGAAGAAAAGCTTGAGAGAGAACGACAAGAGGACGAAATGAGAAATCGCGAAGAGCTCATGCGGCGCCGAATGGAGCTTGATTACATTACAGATGCAAGGGAACGCGAGCGTGAGGAAGACAACCTCCGGAGGATGGAAAAGAACATGCGCCGCGATTGGGAACTGCAACGGGAAAGGGAAGAACGCGACCGCGAGCGACGCGAGGCCGAAGAGGAGAGAAAGCGTGCTGCCATTATTGCCGAAAACAGAGCAAAGATGACTCGAGAGCAGAGAGAAGCGGCTGAGCAGCGCGACAAGATCCTGGCCGACTTGGAGAAGGAAAAGCGGGAGCAGGAAGAGGAGCGTAAACACATTCTTGCAGAGACCCGACTGAGACAATTAAAAGATAAACACGATGCAGAGGAGCAACGCGATAAAATTCTGGCCAACCTGGAAAGGGAGAAGCGCCAGCAAGAAGAAGAGCGCCAGCACATTCTTGCCGAAAGCCGAATGAGGCAAGCAAGAGAGGAGCGCGAGGCAGAGGAACAGCGCGACAGAATCCTGGCCGATATGGAAAGAAAGAAGAGGAAAGAGGATGCCGAGCGCCAGCGTATCATCGCAGAGAATACGGCCAAGCTCGAAAAGGAGGCACGGGAACGCGAATTTCAAGAAAAGGCCAGAGAAGAAGAGCGTAAGCGTATCCTGGCTGAAAACACAGCCAGGCTCGAAAAAGAGGCACGCGAACGTGAACTGCAGGAGAAAGCCAAGGAAGAAGAGCGAAAGCGCATCATTGCAGAGAACACCGCCAAGCTCGAAAAGGAGGCGCGTGAACGTGAGCTCCAGGAAAAGGCCAAAGAAGAAGAGCGAAAGCGCATCATTGCCGAGAACGAGGCCAAGCTAGCCAAGCAAGAAAAGGAAGCGAAAGAAGCACAGCAGCGTGCTGTTGAAGAGTATCAGAGGAAGAAAGCTCAAGCCGAGGCAGAAGCTCAGGCAGAGCGTGACCGTATCATCTACGAGTATGAGCGCAAGAAAGTGCTGGATGCCGAAAAGGAGAAGAAGGCACGAGAGGAGATGATCTTGAAGCTCAAACTCGAAGAAGAAGAGAAGAAGAGGAAGGAAAAGGAGGAGTACGAGGCGTTTATGCGTAAGCAGAATGAAAGAGAGGAGGAGGAAAAGAAGAAGAAAGAGGCCCAAGAGAAGGAGCTCGAAGAGGCCATGCGCAAGAGGCTCTCCCAATTCGGCTTCCAGGATAACCAGATCCAAGTACTCGTGAATCCTGAGAAGCAACGCGAGGTGCAACAGGGCATGTTGCCAAACAACCCCATTCCTCAAATCGCACCCCCTCAACACCACCACCATCACCACGCAATTACGCACACGCCTACCTACGCCAAGGTTCACGTCAGCCATCTTGATGTCGAGACGCTGCACTACTATGATATTCCTTATGAATACGACGTGGTAAGTCTTCACCATACACCCCTCGCCAAAGGGTCAAGCACTGACGGCACACGCAGAACCCCGAATACATCATTGTCCTCCGTGAGATGTCGCAACGCGAGACGAACATTCTCTTTGAACACACGCGTCGCCTTCGCTCGAACCATGGTAACCGACTCTTTATCGAAGCCGAGGGCCGCGATAAGAGGGGCAACAAGGAATATGCCTTTGTGCGCAGGAAGTCTCGCTCTCGCTCCAGGAGCGTCGTTGGAGCTTCGTCTAGTCGGACCAATGTGAGCCTGGGAGATATGATCTGGCGATAGGTGTTTGTCGCTTCATGACCACTGATTTATGCATTGGATTCTTGCTGTTGTTGCATCTCGCTTGATTCATGATATACCAGTTGTACTTTTGTCTTGTTGTACTCGTCTTTTCTGCTTGCAAGCATACGGTATCTTGTTGTTCTTAGTTGGGAATATGAGCTTGTTGCGTTAATGAATACAATCACGACTTATACATTGCCCAGTATTTCGAATCTTTGCTTCAGACATGATTATGTGACAGACAGGCCCGGCACGTGCTCTGGCATCGTCATGTCTGTCTGTGTCTGGCTGATGGCATGTGACGCCATGCCAGACGGCGTGGGGCGAGTTTCGGTCCGCTGCAGCGAGCCTCGGCTTTTGATCATCGGAGCGCGATCCATGACTTGGTGCGATCCAACTGAAAGCCATCCGTCACTCTCTTTCTCTCTACCCTTGATTCTACCAGCGCTGCTACCCCCTTGGTGTATTGATTCACAATGGCCGACGCACTCTGCGGACCCTCGAATGCCCTGCAGAATTTCCAAAAACACACCACCGTCGATCGGACACTGCAGCAGGACCGACTGGTCGGCAGAAACACACCGGCGCAGGCACGTCGCCGCTTACAGAGCCTGGAAACTGAGCGCTGACGGTTGTATAGGGATTCAGATCATCACCGGGGGCAAATGCAGGAGCGTTGGATTCCGAGTTCGATGCCTTTCAGGCCGGTCGATCGGGCCCGCCGCAAGATTTCCAGCAATTTGCTCCGCGCTTCGTACAGCCCCCTCCGCAGTTTGCGCAAGCCCCCCACGCCCCCGACTGGGCTGCTGACTTTCAGCGCCTGAATATTGCCAGTCAGCCTCCACAAGTGTTCCAGCAGCAAAGACCACAGGCGGCGAGCGCAGCGTCAGCATGGCATCAGGACTTTTTGAACCAGCAGACGCAGGCCGCGCCAGCTCCTGTGCTGCAGCAGAACACTTTTGGAGCTATGCCGGCGTATACTATGGGCGGGTTCGGCGGGCAGGCATACATGCAGACACCGGGTTTCCAGAACGCCCAAATGTCCGAAACAGCACTAGGCAAGCAGCGGGCAACAGACGCTGTACCGGCCTTTGATGAGGCGGCTTTTGAACAAGCATTTGCGCAGGCGCAACAAGACATGATGGAGGTTGCTAAGGCAGAACAAGCACACGCGCAACCAGCGCAAGAAGCACTGAACTTGGACCGGCCGGGTGAGATGGATCCTCTTCTACGACGGATACGTGAAACGCGTCCAGGTGTGTAGTATCTGTCATATCCATTATGGTTACTGACGGTCCTCTCTAGCTGTATACTCTGCCATCCAAGTTTGGAGCGAGACAGGTCTTGGACGAACCGAAGAGGCAATCGCATACCTCGAAAACATGAGCCAAATGGAGAAGAATGGCAACTTGGTGCAGGATGCAAATGAAGGAAAATGGATACTCGACTCCCTCCAGAGGATTGTGAACCGCGATGCTCCCCAGGAAGTCAAGACGCGCGCCTCGGAGCTCATCAGTGCCATCAACGAGCGCCTCATGTCGCAGTACCCGTTTGGTTCACGTGTACCCATGAGCGAAGAGCAGGTTTGGAAGGATCTCGAGGCCGCGGGATACACGAGGACTCTGGAGCCGCTGCAGCAACAGCCCGAGCAACACCAAAAACAGGAAGAACCCAAATTAAACGAAGACGACGAAATGGCAGCTACAGCCGGAAAACTGCTCGAGCGAGTCGCAGACAACACGAGCGAAAAGTTTCAAAATTCGCAGTTTCTCAGCCTCATGCGCCGTCTCCGAGACCGAGAAGTCAGAGTGCAAGAGGATAAGATTGTTGAAGTGGATGGCAACAACAACTCCACTACTGCTACACCCGGCAACACGTATCAACCCCAACAACCCCATGCTCCTTCAACACAAATCCCACAAATCGACCCCACCATCTTGGCCCATGCAGCCACCGACTTTGAAACTCCAATCTACTCGGATGCCGGCGTCGACCCAGCTCAACAGCACCATCAGTATGCTCCATCTCACTAGTTTTGTCAATACCCATTTCCTGCACTATGACCAATATAACTTTTTCTTCTTCTTCTTCTTCTTCTTCTTCTTACGTCCCCCCCACATACACCCATTCCCGTGCGCTCATCCAGTGAACTAATAACTGATGAGACCCCAGATCAACATAGATACCACTACCACCACCTCGGCTGAACCCCAGCACAGCAACATGCAACCCGCAGCACCAGTAATACGTCCCCAAATGCGCTTCATCCCCCGCCACGAACAAGACGAGGATCTATGGCGCACTGCTTCGTCTTCGTCTTCGTCTTCGTCTTCTTCGTCGACGTCGACATCTTGCCCTGGACCCGGTCGAGACCCGTTTTCAGGTCTGGTAAAGGGCCTGGGGATTGTGCTGGATGGGGTTGATGGCGTGTTGTAGGTATCTTATTGTGGGTATGTAAGTGTGTGTGGAAGTGGGTGGGTGAGTGGGTGCTGTGGCAGAGTCCAAGGGAAAGGGAGGCGAGGAATAAGGGGGATGGGGAAGAAGAGAAGAGAAACTATGAATTTGTTCCCTTGGTTGTTGGTGAGCTGAGGTATGATTGTAATGCATGAGTGCATGGATTTATAAATGAGTGGGAAGGAAACAAGTAATGCAGATTTGCAGAGGTACATGTCGACGGCGAAATCACGAAACAGGGCCGAGGCGAGGCGAGGAGAAATCGAATCGACATGGAAAGCTAAAAGAGGGAAAAAGAGGTAATCATAGCGGTATATCAAAGTTCTCGCACAATCAATCCCGTGATATCAAGGAAAGGGCTGCAGGGAAAACAACAATAATAACAATAAACATGGGTTGTACGCAACGATGCCATTTATACATGTAGCTAGCCATGTCATATATAGGCACGCACGCATGCATACATGCGTCCATCTATCCATGCATCAAGCACGCATTCAATCTACGTCTTCTCGCCCTTGGCCTTATCACCAGCACCAGCATCAGCACTACCATCAGCATCAGCACTACCATCAGCATCAGCACTACCATCAGCATCAGCACTACCATCAGCATCAGCACTACCATCAGCATCAGCACCCTCCTCACCGGGAACCCAAATCCCGACGCCCTTCTTATCACTCCTCATACCCTCAGTCGCCTGCACCTTGAGCGTCTTATTAAAGTAACGATCTGTAACTTTCAAATGCGGGGTAATCCAGTCTCCGTCGACGGCGGCGAGCAGATTATAACGGACGGACTGGCGACTCATGGGGAGGAGATGCAGCGTACGTAGTTTGGGGCCGCTGAAGCCAAAGTCCTCGCTGGCTTCCATTGCGAGTTCAAAGGTGAGAAAGTGCATGGTGGGGTTCTCGAGGACGTAGTCGACGTGGATGAGCGAGGCGATGGCGGGCGAGAAGTGGGAGCGGGCGAGGACGCGGGGTTCTGATGAGGGGATCTGGATGCGGGGGATGGGCAGCGACGAGGTTACGGGGGCGGCTGAGGGGTCCGAGGTGCGCTGCCAGGTGATGTTGAGGGTTGTGTCGAGGGCGGTTGCACGTCGCTCTTCGAGGTTGTTTTTGCGGATGTCGAGGCTGAAGCCCCATTCGCTGAGGACTTGGGGCTGCATGGGCGTCGGGACAATGTCAAACTCCTTTGTTACGTCGCAGGTGGCTCCGCCGTGGATGCTGTGGACTTGGACGGCAAGGTCGCTGACGATGAGTTGTTCGTCGGCGAACGAGGCGACTTTGGCGCGTAGACCCCATTTTTGGGCGATACCGAATGCATCGGAGGATTCGGGGTTGACGTTGCTTTCGGCTTCTTGTAGCTCAAAGTAGCTCGGCCATGGTTCGGGATGGACACGTGCGTTTAGGTCGTAGCTGGCTTCAAAGGGCGCGTTGAAGACGAGATCTGCTACCATGATCTTGGAGATGGGAATGTCGCGATCGCTGAGTAAGTGGTATAGCACCTTGACTTCTAACGCATAGTCTGCTGGGTCGCCGGGCGCCGTGAAGCGTATTCGCTCCGTTGTTCGCTCTCCCTGGGCGAGTTTGCCCACTACATGGCCTGGTAGATCCATATCCGCCGCACCGTCGAGTGCTGGCGGTACTTCCTTCATGGGTGACGCCGCCGGGCGGTCAAGCCAAGTATAGCCAAGAGAGTCTTTTGAGCGACCAAGGAGTCGAACTTCCAGAACAGCTTCGGTCTCCTCTTCTTCTTGGTTCAGTATCTCGATCGCTAGAGTAACTGGCTCATCAGTGTAGTACTGATCTCGAATGTCAGGTAAGAGAATCTCCATTTTCGGTGGCTTAGGCAGGATGTGGATTGACATGCCCGAGCCATGCTTGAGCAATCTTGACTTGATCTTTGTGTTTGATGTAATCCACCACAGTGGACGAGTTGGAATCTCGGGCTCTGAATCCGAGCAGGTGAGATCAAACCGCTCCGTGTTAACTCCAAATGAGCAAGCGACAACGTCGACATCGCCAGACTCACGGAAAACGAGAGGCAGACTGTAGACTTTGGTGTGACCAGCATGCAGTGTCAGATCAGAGGCTCCTGTCCACTGCGGCTTTTGAGTATCAGAGTGTGCCTCCTCCAATGCACAAGAGTACATCCTGGAGGCATTGCCAGGGGTCTCTTCATCAGCCTTATGCGTCAAGCGGACTTCAGCCAAGCCACCATTGAATTGATATTGCAGAAAGGACAGGGTAACAGGAGCGGAGCCCGGTCGGGCGTTTGAAGTGATTGCAATTTGCGATTGCAGCGGTTCACCCACGTTACCCTCAGCTTCCGAAAAAGCAAAAGACACGGACACTGCGCTGTTAGTTTTGGCTGTAGTAGCAGAAAAGATCGCACCTACGACAGGATATGCGCTCTTTGGCATTCATGTTCACAACGACCTTATTCTCTGCAGCCCTTGGGAAGACATCAAGGCATTTCATGAGATCATACTTGTATTTTGTCTTGCCAGGAATTGCTGGACGGCATTAGCGACACATACGACAAAGCATGAAACTACTGACTCTGACTGTACAACTCCCATTCGGTGGCGACATATGTTTCATGATCTTGTACCCGCAGCGCGCACTCGTGCAGGGCCCATACTACTTCTGAAGCGAGATTCCACCATCTTTCTTTCCTCCAGGTCATCGTCTCCCAAAGCGGACGTAGCACCTTGAAGGCATCGTCAAACCGGTTGACGTGTAGTAGTGTCCGCGCTACGTCTAGTTGCAGCTGGTCTACTTTGCGGGGCTGACCTCGAGCCTTGAATTGGCTAATTGCATCGTTCATCTTGGATGAGATGTCTTTCCAATGTTGGAAGCCAGTGCCAACACCAGGCAACGGGAACTCTTCGTGCGGCTGGGGAACAAGGTAGGTATCGTATATTTGACTCCGATTTGAGACTTTTGCCGCAGGTGACATGCCTGGTGGCGTCCGATCCTCTTCAGGCATTTCCCGGGCCAGGATATAGCGCCTCTTGGCATGATCACTGGCAATCTTGTGCCAATAACCAGCGTGGTGTAGCAATTCCCACGGCGGCAGTCTTTCTCCTACAGGAAACTGTTTCTCGGGCTGGGAGTATAGCGAGGTTCCGGCCTCTGCCAAAGGATCCGGATCTGGCGCAGGGTCTGTCATCTTGAATACGGGTAACTCTGCTCGCTGGACAACCTCGGCCATGACCTGGGCCCACCTGGATTCCCATGCCTGCCAGCCGTAATTCACAGTGCCCTTGCCTCGGCGATCCAGGACGTCTTGTAACCTGTACTTGTACCGCAGCCATGTCTGAACGGCAGAGGTAGGGCAGTTGTTCCAGAGCTGACACCGAATATGCCGCATGGCGATGATGTCTGAAAGCAATCGTATCTCATCCCATCTTGGCGACCAACTCGCCGTGGTCTCGAACAGGCCTTCGGCTCCAAACAGAGCCTCTAAAGCAGCATTGTAGTGCCGTTGCGCAGCGTCCATTTCTTGGCGGAACTCGGCGAAGATGGCCAGCTTGAAGTCATAACGAACACCCCAGCCAGGATACGACAGCGTCTGGGACGTTCCGCGCGTGGGAGGAGCTGTCGGAGGAGGAATGGTACCCCTGCTCTTTTTTCTTCGTGCATGCTTTGTGAGGTCGCGGTAGTACTCTACGCAGATGGGCTGCAATATGGCCAGTACCGATGTGACAAAGGCCTGTAGCTCGACCCGCGACGTTCTTGGCGGAAGGAAGAAGAGTGAGTTCTTCGGGTCCAGGCCAGTGGCGCGTCGGATAACAGCAAGTCTATCCTCAATATCTGGCGCTTCCAAAATGGTCTTGTCACTCAGCAGAACAACGACATATCTTGTGCGATAGTCGGACTTTTGTATCTGGCCCTTGATCTTGTTGATCTCGGTCTTCAGCTGGTTGTCGTGCAGGCTATTCGTAATCGGGTCGGTGGTGAAGTTGAAGAAGGAGACGAAGACGGCAGGCACATAGTGCTGATGCTTTGCAACCCAGGCAGGAGGAATGACACCGTCCGGGAACGACGGGGCGCCGGGCGAGAGGGGCGATATGGGTGAATGGAGCACCCAGGATGTCGGGCCGGCCGCGACGGGACTGCTCATAGACACCGTCTCGGAGTGGGTGGGCGCATCTGCCTTGTGCGGGGGCAGCTGGAAGTTCTAGGAAACATCAGCCCGTCACTCCTTGGCCATGTGTGGTTGCGGGCACCCGTACTCTTCCTACGCTCCGTATCCTGAAGCCATGCGTGAGGCCTCTGCGACCCAGGCCCCGCCCATTCCACAGCGCATTGGTGCCATCGCTGCGCAGAAACTCGTCGAGGAGCTCGGTAGCAGCTTCACCTTGGACGGGCGCTATCTCGGAGCTGATGTTGGTGATGGTCCGCCCTGGGAGGACATTGTAGACAGGCGGAGGCGGATCGACCTCGCTGCTGGTGGCCAGCCCGGAGAGGACTATGCAGGGTAGGTTGTGGACTACGAAGTCGGAAGGAAAGGCCTCCATTCTCTAGGCCCAGGTCACCACCCCATGCCCGAAGAGCGCAGGCAGCTTGCGAGGCGGGCTCGGGGGCAGGTGGCGGGGCTGAGGGGCTGCAGACGGGCGCTGGGGCGGCGCGTGCAGACGGGCGGCGCGCGTGGATAGCAGCGTGTGCGGACGGGGCGTTGTTCTTCGCCCTCGTCGAAACGGCCATTCTGGATCCTGTGGCGCGACGGCTGAAAGGGCGTATCCGTCATGGCTGCCAGAGCCGCAGGGGCGAACATTGAGTCTCCTTGCAGTTTCACAAACAGGTTCTTGGCCCGCGCATTGGTGACTTGCTCTCTTCGCGAAAGAGCGCCGGCCTCGTTTGCGAGATCTGTCAGGTGTCTAGAGGTATAGGCGACGTTCAAGGCGGGGTGGCTTGGTAGGTCGGCGGCGGATGTCAATGGCGCAAGAAGACCTGCACCTCGGTAAGCTCACGTCACGCCGCGCATTCACGCACATGGCTACATACTCTCGAGTTGTATGTCTCCATAGGGGTTCTCTTCTACCGGCTCTATGTCGTCCTCTTCCTCCTCGTACTCGTCGTCGACCTCGACAATGTCACCGTCGGCGTCATAGCGCGGAGGGTTGCGCTGCAGGATATATCGGTGGTAGCCGGCGTGCTCGATGCGCTGGGGACCGTCAGTGTGCCATGCCACGCAAGAGGACATGCAGACAGGATCAGACCTTCTTGTAAGGGCGCGGGTCGGCGAGGAAGTCGGCGTCGCTGGCGCGCGCGTACTGGACTTTGCGCCGCAGGTCCTGCTTGTTGCTGCCAAAGGCGGTTTCGGAGTCGTCCGTGTCGGCTGGCTGTGGTCAGAATAGCGGGCTGGAGGCAGGCGTGCGCCCTTACAGTCGTCCTTGCGCAGCATCTTCCGCTTCATGTTGAAGATGGTATCGAGGATCTGCTGCTGTTGGCCTGCCATGGCGCCGACAGCCTCTGGGCAGCGCAGTCGGAAAGTGGATGGTCGAGGCGAGGCGAGGAGCCGCGAGCGCGTCCAGCCAGGCGGCGCGCGCGCTTTTGGTATTTGCAAGACGAGCAGAGGCGGGCGGCACGTGGAGCCAAGGGCGGGTATGGCGAGACGCTGTTCACGAAGCTCGTGCGTGGGTGGGAGAACGATTTGGCGGAGGAGCCCAGCCCGACAGGGTTCACCTAACTAAGTAATACTTGGGCGACTTAGCGCACGCCGCCCGCCGCCCGCCGCCCGCAATCCACCGCCGGCCACATGCCGACCGCCGATGACATGGCCCGCCAACAACAATCTGTCGTGGCCAGCACGCCGCGATCCAATTCACCCCGCCCAGCAACCGCACGACACGGAAATGCACGACACGGTGGAGAGTGCCCACGACGTCAACATGGAGGATGCCGCGCAGCCCAACGGGACCGACCGACCGACCGAGACGAATGGCCCAGAGGCAGTGAATGGGGCCGATCCTGTGACAAACGGATCACACAATAGTGGCGCAGATGAGGCGCAGAAGAATGGCCAAGGGGAGCATTCTCCCACGGGCGAAGATGTGTCTGACACCGCATCGCAGCAAACAGCGCACAGAATGACGACACGCACACGAGCACGAGCCCATGCAGCCTCGACTCCTTCTCCACCTCACTCGCCATCAGGCCATGTCAACGCGATACATCCCCTGTTCATACACCCCACCGAGTCGCTGCCAGACCGCGACTTTGGTCTCCCGCCAAACGAGGCAGAGGAGACGCGTATGCTCCTCATGGCGTACGTACAAAAGCAGGAAGAAGTCGCGCGCATCACGTCCGACCTCTACCACGGCTTGCTGCAAGCTGACCGCATGAGGCAAGACGTCTTCAAATGGTCCAAAGCCGAAGGCCACATAGGGGAGATGAGCGATGGCGAGGACTGGTACGACAATGAGGAATGGGGCCTTGAACAAGACTTGGCCAAGGGTCGTGATGAAGAAGAGGATGAAACTGCGGTAGCTGGGAAGAAGAGCACGAGGCAACGGCGCAAGCCTGACAAAGACGACCGGTAGCGTGGCATGTAGGAAGAGTGATGAGGCCGGCTTTCTTTTTTTTTGGTCATTGATGCGTAGCGAGATACCACACCACGACATGGAATGAAAGTTGCTCTTGGGTTGCACACGGGCACACATACCTACACCTGGTCGCTCTTGCCGCAGCATGCTGCTCACGTGCTTTCGCGTCAATGTCGCACTTTCTTCATCCGCCCATTCCTCACCTTCAATCCTCCTCCACGCCAAATATGGAATACGTCTTGCGTTGCAACGATTTAAAGTGTCGGTCACAGCTCCATGAGCGCGCTGTCGTCACTACCTGCAGGTTTGCCTGACTCACCTTCCCTCACTGGACCAGCATACTGACCGGCACTAGTCACATCTTCTGCACCAACTGTGCGGATGCTACTGGGCTATCAAGTTCTACAAACGCGCAACGAGTCTGTCCAGCATGTAGCGCATCACTTCACAATCCAGACGATGTGGTCATTGCGGGTCTCAATCCATCCGAAGACTACAAGACTTCCGTGTTGAGTGGCCTCAGCCCAACAATCATCATGGAGTGTGCAAGCCGCGGTCTGGCCTTTCACAGCTACCAGACATCGCAGGAGATTATCTACCAAGAACATCTCGCAAAGGGTCTTACGGAAAAATACAATACGTTGAGCCAACAGATGGATCAGCTCATTCATGACGCCGATGCCCAAATCAAAGCGCTCCAGGACAAGATGCAAGGTAAAAATATCCCATTTCATACTTGCAGACTCAAGATTGACATTGTCGAGCGATGCAAGCGGATTTGGCAGAGCTCGAATCCAAGAATCACGGGTTTGCGGAAGCTTTCAAGGAAAAAACCAAGGCGCATCAAAGGACACAGAACCTCTACCAAGCGCTGAAAGCTCAAGTCATGGCTTCGCAGGTTGCTCACGCTGCTGGAGATGAAGCTGAATTCACACTACAGACGGCCCGGGGGAATCGCTTGATTGATCATTTGCCAGGCGCCCGGTCTGGCACTGCCAATCTCAGTCAGGTGGGCATGACACAACAGGCAGGTAGCAGACTACACAACAGAGTTACTAGTCGGAGCTCCGGTAGCAGTGGGAGACATCAGCAGAGCGGTGTTCACGTTGGCCCTTCCTTCAATTCACAGCTGCACGGACGGGGACTTACCGGTAGAGTTCTTAATAATCGTATGTCTTTCTTTTCACTTCCTAGTATTTTCTTTCAAACTTGCGCAACTTCTGGCACTCTAAGCTAACAGTGTAAAGAATCTGCTTCGACTGGTACACCTTTGCAAGCTCGCAGGAGTCGCCTTCCAGTCCTCGGCGGAACACGTCAAAACCCATATCTGAACCAACAATCGACGCCCTCGTTTCAGAGATCAACAATGACCAGACAGCCAATGGGTGTTGGTAGTGCCGTGCAGGATTTGGGTGGTTTTGCGCATAGCCGCAGGTCGTCGAGGAATGCTGAGTAGTCAGATTATGATTCCCGCAAATCTGTGGGCACACTCGAATGAAGAGGGGCAAGTAAGAATATAAGCAACTTTTAATTGTAACTGGTTCATCAACGTACTTCAAAGCGTTACCTTGGCTGGCTATAGTCTTTTTTATCGTCGAGAGTTGTTAACTTTGTATTTTTAGTCACATGTTGTAAGTGCGTTTGAAATAAGGTGTGGGTAACGTATGTGGCAAGCGAGCGCCGCACCCCACCAAACCTGCGCACCTCTCCTATCTCAACGAACAATGGCTCAACGTAGCGCTACTCAATTAGCTTTAAATGAAGCAGATATTCAGCTTGCTATTTCTTCTATTAATCTCCATCAAACACAAAGTAATCGTCGCGCTGCTGCTGTCTACAACGTGTCTGAACGAACAATCCGCCGCCGACGCGCTGGTATACCTGCTCGACGCGATTGCCAGCCTAACTCAAAGAAGCTCACTAAGCTAGAAGAGGAGGTGATAGTTGATCATATACTTGATCTAGATCTACGTGGATTTGCGCCCACGTATGCTGCTGTGCGCGATATGGCTGATAAGCTGCTGGCTGCGCGCGGCGCTGGCCAGGTTGGGCAGAAGTGGCCAGCCAACTTTGTCAAGCGTACAGACAGTCTTACGACGCGTTTCAATCGAGCGTACGATAGGCAGAGAGCTCTATGTGAAGATCCAGTCCTAATCAAGAGCTGGTTTGAGCTTGTAGAGCAGACAAAGGCTAAGTACGGCATCTGTGACGAGGACGTCTACAACTTCGACGAAGCTGGCTTCATGATGGGCAAGATCACGACTCAGCTAGTCGTAACAGCGTCAGAGAGGAGGGGCCGACCAAAGGCAGTTGAGCCAGGCAATCGTGGGTGGTAACGCTGATCGCAGCGATTAACGCAGCTGGCTGG